TTGAAAAGTTTATGATTGACTTTTGTAATCCTCTATGAAATTTTTTCGAGTTGGAAAAAACTAGACTACAACTACAATCACTTCAAAAAATATGTACCTTCGATTTTACAAAAAATTACACAAGCAAATATCAAAATATGCATTTATTCATTACATATTTGATATGTATTAATTTCCTTACTTATATCATATATATCCCATCCATTTGTACATACATATATACATGTATATTATACCTACATTAATTTCTCAGATATTTTTGATACTAATAATAATCTCCTTTAGTTTGAGATTGCGCTATAAGCAAAATTTCTCCCATTTTCCTCTTATTTTAATAGTGTATAACATTAAAATTCAGTTCCTATGCAGTGAGTTCTGAAAGTAAAATTTCTTAAAAACTTTGTTCAAAAATGGAAATAGAATTTTCAGTTTGAAAATCCAACTGACACTGAATTAGAGTTCAACTTGCGTTGGTTTTTGACAAATACTTTTTGTTCTACATTTTGTACTTATTACCTTCACAAATACAAGAGATTACTTAAAAGAACTGTTTATCGATCGTTTAGATTGTGTGGCTATATGCTATAATGATTTGATCTAAACAATTTCTTCGGAGATTTCGTTGTTGCCAAATTTCGTTAAGTTATCTCGTAAAATGAAATGTTTTTCATGTAAGCGCTTGATCTCGATCGTTCAGTTAGTATGATAACTATATGCTATAGTAATCTGATATCCACGGTTCTGAAAAATTAACAGCTACTTGGGGAGAAAGGGACGTGTGAAAATTTTCAGATCGGAGAAGTTAGAAGACATGGCTACGTCAACTCAGCTTCTCAAGCTGATCATTGAGACTATATTTTGACAAATTTAACATATCATATTCAGTCACACGAAATGAAAAGCATATCTTGGAGGCAGCCATAAATTCAAATATCAAACTTCTGAGTGTATCTGCTATCAAAATAGTTTTCATATAAATCTTTTAATCATCTTTAGGCTATTTAACTTGAAGCATTCCATTTTATCCTCAAGATGAAATACATATATTTTTAAACGAATTTATAAAGCGGTTAATATGCTATACATACTTGTATACGAGTATAGTATATAATATATGGTGTACTACATATTGGACATATTGTTCTATATAACATTATAAAATTGTATTGTTAATGCTGTCATAAATATTGCAAATATCGCTATCTTTTCAGAAATTATGTACAAATTAAGCTGCGCTTGCAATTTTTTACAAATTATATGTGCTAATATTTGTACGTTACCCAGAAAGAGTCTGCGAAAATAATTAGTAGGAACAGATAACTTTATATACTTTTCATAAGATCCATTTTTTATATACACATTAACATATGTATTTAGTTCCATGAAAATATAAGTGATTAAAATACTGACGATAACATCTAAACAAAAGAAAACATGTCGACAAATAGAAAATCTAATAGAAAAAGTCCGCGTACAAGGTTCATAAGTTATTCTACCCCAGAATTCTTCAAAAAATTTAATAGGAACTCATAGGATGTCCCCAACATTTAAAAAGTTGAGCTAGCTTTAGCTTTTAGCATGGATTAGACAAGCTTAAGCATTTCTGTCGAAGGGATGTGAGCACATTCCTCGTGCAGCATATCCTTTGAAGTAATCGTGCGTAGGCGGATTTTATGTTCCAGGGAACCTTATGGTGCTATTTAGGATTGAAATCTGGTGATTATGGTCGTATTTAAAGCTGCTTAGGGAAAGTTGTAGAGTAACTAGAGCTTAACAATGTCTACTGTATACTTCGGTTCGTTATCCTGTAGAGAATAGTAGTCATTTTCAAGACCTAATTCTTCCGCTCTTTGCTTCAAATATATTTTTAAGATATTTAGGTATGCATATTTGTCCATGGTGGACTCTATTAATTTCATTATTGCTTCTTTATCACCATTCTACACAGTATTTGAGTTCTTGTGTGCGACTTGACCACAAAATCATATTTTTTTAAATTTTGCGAATGGTGGTAACCTTTTGAGACTTTGCTTCACACTTTGCAAAACGTTACGAGTTTCACGCTAGTGCTAGTATTTCAGGCCGCCCTTCACGGGCCGAGATATAAAAACACCGATATGTTTGTAATTTTTTATAGCTGTAGAAGAATATGTTTTTCCAAAAAATCGATTTTAGGGTATGTTTTTCCTTCTTTGAAATGTTTAACAATTATGTCCCTTCCAGATGAGCTTATTTCTTTTCTTTTAGGCGGGATTGGATATTCTAGATTTATTTTTTCTTGAAAATAAAGTAAAGAAATACAACTTGCATTGCGGCAGCATATTAATTATTAATTTTTTACAAAAATCTAATCCGTCAAATAAGTGGAAAGTAGTTTTAGACTATACAAAAATGACTATACTCTTGCAACACGGTCCAACAGAGTTAATACTTTGTTTACTTAATATAGATATAGAGTTATATATGTATACATTATAAATAACCAGGATGAGGAGACGTTACGAATTCCTGGCGACTTCCGGGAAAAACTGAGAAATCAAGACACCCTGAAGATGTTGATATCGCAAATAGGTTTGTTCAGTTCATTCCCTCACCCTTTACCACTTAAACGAAAAACTGTAAAATGCTATAACTAAGTCAAAAATTATGAAACAAACTTAATTTGATACAGTAAATCGAAATATAAAAAGCAATCCTAGTTTTATCGTTCAATTCATATTAATGAATCTTATGTAAGATATCTTAGCTAAATTAAGTGAACATACATATACTCGTAGTACAAGGTGGTGCCATCTATATGTCGACTGGTGCGTTAGAATCTGATATCTTTCAGTGAGAATTTATTGCGTTTTAACTGTCAGTATGTTTGTGTTATCGGTGCGAAAATGAGCCAACACTAAATTTTGTTTTAAAATTGGTAAAACTTTTACCGAAACCTTTCAATTGATGAAACAAGTTTATGGCGATAAATGCCTATCAGTAGCAGAGTGCACAAGTGGTTTCAACGTTTTCAAAGTGGTCGTGAGGACATAAATGATGGTCAACATGTGAGACAAACAAAATCCGTGTTCACCGGAAATTTCATCGAAACTGTGCGTGAATTCATCAAAACTCAGCCGAAATCATCATTGAAATTCATGAAAATGGAATTGAAAATCTCCAAAACATCGATTTATCGCATTTTGACCGAACATTTGGGCTTACGAAAGGTGTGTGCATGGTTTGTTCCGCACAAATTGACTGACAACTGCGAATTGCTCAGTATACCCCCGGCGGGTACAGCGCCGAATACTTCCAGAGCAGGACTATTTTCGTCCATTCCATACAAGACCATACAACTTTCACAGAACTTTTCTCTTGAAAACTGGCAATGTCGACTCGTCAGTTGTTGACATCGTCGGACGGGAATTATGAGTGACTTATAGAGTTTGGTTTTTGTTTGTCGAGAGAGGAATTTGCTTCTCAATTGCCTACTCAGTCAGGTGCTACCCTGTTTTGCAAGAGTTATCCTGGGTTGGATTTCCAGGCTGACATTGTTGGTGGTGTTTACGCTGGTTCCAAGATAGACGAAATTATCTACGACTTCAAAGTTATGACTGTCAACAGTGACATGAGTACCAAGTCGCGAGTGCCAGTCGCCGCACTTGATTTGATGACAGGAGATATTTTGTCTTGCCCTCGTTCACTGCCAGACCCATTTGTTTTGCTTCCTTGTCCAGTCTGGAGAAAACAGTACTAACGGCGCGGGTGTTGAGGGCGATGATATCAATATCACGAGCACGATAAGGAATCGCCTTCTCTGAAACTTCGTTTGGTATCGAACTGCTCGGAGAGGTCCTTCCCACCTTTCACCGGTCTTTTCCAAGATTTGGCTCATGGTGAATATCTGGTCGTTTATTGATTTTCCAGGTCTAAAGCCACACTGATAAGGTCCAATCAGTTTGTTGACGGTGGGCTTTAATCTTTCACACAATACGCTCGATAGAACCTCATATGCGATGTTAAGGAGGCTAATCCCACGGTAGTTGGTGCAGATTGTGGGGTCTCCTTTTTTGTGGATTGGGCATAGCACACTTAAATTTAAATCGTTGGGCATGCTTTCATCCGACCATATTTTACAAAGAAGCTGATGCATGCTCCTTATCAGTTCTTCGCCGCCGTGTTTGAATAGCTCGGCCGGCAATCCATCGGACCCCGCCGATTTGTTGTTCTTCGGGCGGGTCTTTGCTATTCGAACTTCTTCATGGTCGTTCAATGGAACCTCTGCTCCATCGTCATGTTCTAGACTATTTTAATAAAAAATGGTTATCCTTGTGAGTTTTCAAAATTTAATGACATTTAATTAAATAGTTCTTAAATTATTGGTAGTAAAGTAACAAAGAGTCACATTTTGGACTTTCAAAAGTCAAACATCCTCTGAATAAATAAAGTAAACATTACACTCGTGACTCCAGCGGCCAGTAATCTGAGTAGTTGTTGCCCGGTGAAAGTTATCCAAATTCCTCGAAAGCGCAACAGTCCGGCGCCAAGATTATTATTAAGCAAATTAACTGGAAATAAATCGGTTTTGGATTTGAAAAATGGGTGAAACCGTGTAACCTCATCCACTTACCCTATACAAAGTGTACTATAATAAAATTGCGTTGGCGTGACATCGCTAATTTTTGCTTGAAATCCCATAGTTTAGAAATTACTTCTACCAAATTTGGTGCATATCATTACCCGTTTATGTTAACTTTTTAAAATGGGGGAAACCGGATTCACACATTTTTTTAATTAAATCTAATTCTTTCACTTTAAAATATATGGTATAAATCAATTATAAAGATTATAATTATAGTAATTTAGTGTAATGCAGAAGTAAAGTCTACCTATCGGCTCAAATATATACAATATAGGGATCTACTTTATAATGCTTAAAATGACAAATACGTGTAATATTTCATTTTAGCTATAATTTGGTTTAGTGCCTAATATGAATGAAAACGGTCTAGGCTTACCTGCAATGGTCGTTGCGGAGGTCCAGCCATACTATGATGATGGTACATAACGTCATGTTTTATTTGACCCGGCATTTGACTGTGGTGATGTGTGGTTTGATGTTTACCCATATCCACCGCCGCCAGTGCTTCCGCCCTACTAAGGATACCATCATTAATTCCCGCAAATATATCACCCTATTTAAAAATAAGAAAAAAGAATGAAGAATTAATATATGAAATATATGTATACAATGTCTACATAACTTATTGTACTCCATCTACATATGTATACATATACATAAAACATTAATATTTTAAAATAATAGAGTCGCCGTTCACAAATTAGAATCTTCAGTAATTAAAATATCCAAAATCTGAGTTGTTCTCGATAATTGAGCTGGGGAATTGCTTTTACTAATCTCATAAGCAATTTTCTGGATCGCCGTTTGCTATTGTTGTTTTAAATTAAAAAAATAATAAATTAACAAGTAAGGAAGGGCTAAGTTCGGGTGTCACCGAACATTTTATACTCTCGCATCAAATACCGTATTTGTGTAAAGTTTTATTCCGCTATCATCATTGGTTCCTAATGTATATATTATACAGAGAAGGCATCAGATGGAATCCGAAATAGCGTTATATTGGAAGAAGGCGTGGTTGTGTTAAGAAACTATTATGTACCGAATTTCATTGAAATCGGTCGAGTAGTTCCTGAGATATGGTTTTTGGTCCATAAGTGCAGTGGGTGCACCTTCTTTCTGATATTTCTTCCGTAAAATTTAGTGTTTCTGACGTTTTTTGTTAGTCGGTTAACGCACTTTTAGTGATTTTCAACATAACCTTTGTATGGGAGGTGGGC